CATTCCCAATAGTGTTTCCAATACTATGTGAGATTGAGCCTTAAATAGTGATATTATTTTTGAATGTTTTGCTTAAAATTACAATAATCGCGATTGATTGTAGATTGACTTTTAATTATGACATATTTAATCGTATAATACTAATGCAATTGGTTGTTGATTCAGTTGTTTTAAGGTGCATGATTGTTAATTGTTTCCTGAATAATCACATTGTATTGGAAACAAGTGTTGGTAATGCTCAATTCCACATAGTATTGGAAACACTATTGGGAATGGTATTTAAGGCTTGGCTTTCCCACTTCCTTGTTGAGTAATAGAGAACAAGGGGGACTCTCGCGTGCCGCCGTCGTCGTGGTCGTGGTCGTGGTCATACGTGTCTTCGACACGTCCGCGCGAATACTATCTTTTTAGAGAAAATTTTTAAGAAACAAATGCAATACCACCAGTCGTTGCGATTTAGTTGGTCATTTTGACAAATCCAAAAAAAATAATTAAAATCGTATATTATAATGCATTTTTGATAATGAGTTATTTTTCTAAAGAATATGATTTTATTGAAGTGATAAATTTAACATTTTTCATAAAATTGAGACGCATGGCGCAAAATAATTGTAATTCGAGATTGAACTAAAGTGGTTCATGCAACAAAAAATCAAAACCCACAGATCCGGCTTTGACTACACCCACATTCCAGAAGTGCCGAAACGGTGCGTTTGAAGCTTGCCTTCCGCTATATAAGCCCTCACCTCTTCCATTTTTCTTCAACCAAGTTATCCTTCCTGCATTATCACCTTGAGGGGAAAAAGAAGAAGGAAAAAACACCATGGCTCCGACATCGAAAGTGGTTAACCCGAATCCCGACACGAGTAACCAAGAGATCCGTTACCGCGGCGTGAGAAAGCGTCCATGGGGCCGTTACGCAGCTGAGATCCGTGACCCAAGGAAAAAGGCCCGAGTCTGGCTCGGTACATTCGACACTGCTGAGGAAGCAGCGCGTGCTTACGACGCGGCGTCGCGAGAATTCCGTGGCGCAAAGGCGAAAACAAATTTCACCTACGGTAAACCAACGACTTCAGTCGAAGCCCCAGCCAGAGCAGCACCGTGGAATCCTCTTCTCCGCCACCCTTGGACCTCACACTCTCCAGCGGACCTCTATCGCTCCCTGTGACGGCGAATCGTCCGGTTTTTCTCTTTGATTCATTTGCTTCTGCCGGTAAAGTTACCTCCGATGCTGGCGGAGCCCAGAGCGATTCAGATTCGTCGTCGTCGGTTGTTGATTTTGATCAAGGGGTGCGACCGAGAGTGTTTGATCTTGATCTTAACGAGTTGCCTGCTGAAATGTTCTGATTTTTCTGTTTATCTTTTTACCGGATGTCGTTTTTTACTTCGGCTTTCTGCGTTTTTGGCTTTCCTTTTAATCTAATGGTAAAAGCTAGCTGACATGTAACCTGTATAAAAGAAAGAGAACTTCTAGAGGTGTATTTTTGGCAACTTGAGGAATTTTCCCAATGTTGTTTCTACTTAATTACAATTCAGTCAAGTTCATCATTTCGTTTTAGTATTTTATTGCATTCACACAATCCTTTAATTTTATTTTTTATATTTCTTATCATAAAAATAGAATTTCACTTGAATATAAAATAAAATTTATTTTGAATTAATTACTGGACTATTTACTTTAGTAGTTCATATAAATTTTAAACTATATTTAAAATATAAAAAAGACCATCAGTTATATTTTTTATTAAGTTGTGTTTTTCAATTTTAATTTTTTAAAAAAAGAATTCTCCTTGTTAAATATTTAAAATTCAGAAAGTAAAAAAATTGATTAATTAAATTATACTATAATTCAAACACGGTACAAGACCTAATTACACAATTTAACATTTCATTTTACCTTGTATATGCTATAATTGTATCTCCGTTGTCCAGGCTACAAAGACAACACGTCAGCAATGGATTCGGGGGTGTTGGACGATCGATCTGTTAGATCACGTCACTCATGGGTCCCATATCGTACGCCAACCGCATATAGTTTGATAACGCGAAAAAGGAATCGGCTGCGCCAAATAAAAGAATGAATAGAAAATACCTTCTCGTGATTAAACAATCTCAGAGAAGGTCCATTAAACCTGATTGGCTGGACATCCATTGATCAAACGGGTTGGTTTAATCGTACACATGTGAAACAGCCTTCAAAGTGGTGGCCCGCCGCGGCGGCCGCTTTAAAAGTCGGGACCCAGTTTTCGTGTCGTTTTGAACCGGCGAACAAAACATTTCTTTTCTTTTTATCTGGTTACTCTGAATAATTGAAAACTAGGCCTTAGCCCAATCATCGATTGCCACGTGCATTCTCGTCACGTGAAGTTATCCATGGTTGACTTTAAAGGGCGGCTGAGGGAAAAAGTAAATGAAAAGAAAAGATGCGGCAATGGGGTGACATGTCCGAAGATGAGTTTACAATTAAGCCGGCACTTCCGTGTCCCATGTGGACAGTGGGACCGACGTTTATTGAGTTCGGGATGCGGTTGTGCGGCACTTCGGCTCCGGCGTCTGAGGACCGAAGACTGAGTAAATGTCACTGCTGTATGACCTTACACTAGTCGCCAGTATATTGGACTGTTACTGCCAGAATCTCACCTGTTTGTTTTAATACTCTTATGTTCAAAGTTGAAGGAAAAATTACTCTTATGCTCATCTTATCTCTCCCTATTTTGTCATCTAACCCAAACAGAATATTAAGTTGTGATCACAATAAATCATAATGATTGTATTATAACGGTAATTAAAGGGATATTTGTTGAGCTTGATGGAAGGTCTTATAGATGCAAGTTTTGTAAAACTCACTTAGCACTCCCTGATGACCTTGTTTCCAGGGTACCCCCAAATTTTATTTCCTTCTCTTCTCTCTAATCTTTTCTGGTTTTTAATTTTTCAGCCATTTGTTTTGGAGTTAATCATAAAAAAATGGTTCTGTAAACAATTACTGATTGCAGAATGCTTAAAGTTGAGAACTTTTGATGTGTGGATCCTGTTGTGTAACTCTAGAATCATGATAAATGATAGTCCTACTGGTTTTATGATGGTTGCGAAATGGTTACGTGTTGTTCAAATAGCCTCAAAGTTTGGGATTCTGGAGAATTGGGAAAGAAATTGTGAACATTCAGTAAAATTTATGATTGAACCAAAAATACCTTAAACTAAAAGGCCTCATCTTCTTTTAAGATGGGAGAAATTTCTTGATTTATGTTATCATTTTAATACCTTACCAAATGATTTATTTGGTTGGATGTATCGATTATGCATTGCTTTCTCAGGATATTGTTTGACTTATAAGCATTGCTTTATGCTGTATAGAATGTTAGAACCTTCCATCTGTGCTCAGATACATTAGAGTTCAATCAGAACATACATACATATATGTATGTGTGCACTCCTTCACATCTCTCAATTAACCAACTCCATCAGTATTTGCATTTACCTACACATAACAGTTGGAACCTTTTGGATATGTGCTCAGAGAGGATTATGCCCTGTTGAGTGCATACTGTGGCAGACATTTTGGTGCTGTTGTGAACAAATTGGCGGCTGGAAATATGTAATCTCTGTCTCATTTACACACTTTCTCCAACAATGCATTTGCTTTCGCACGAGAAGAGTAGAAAGTACAAAGGAAAGTTTGTCCTCGAGAGGTAAAACCTTTCTACCTTCCATTTCATCATTTTTTTCATGTCAATGAAACCTCCTGTAGCTTAATCCCTTCTTTTATGCGCGGTGCAGGGGAAGGATAGTCGACAAAATTGACTTTTCATCGGAAGTACACATCGATACCCGTCCTAGTATGAGCGGAGCCGGAGACTATAATGTAAACAACTGTTTCTAAACTAAACATACAAATATAGGTGGGTGTATACAAATATACCTCACTTATTGTTTATGACTCGAGATTAATGTGGGGTGTCATCATCATCATAGATGTCCATCCTGTTTATATCAGGACCTATTAGTGTGTTCAACATGAAATCAAATAGTAAAAGAGTCTGTTTGATACTATTTGTTACATGATCATCACACCCACACATCTAACAAGATATGCAATGCCATTACTTATAAATTGCAAGACATCCATTTTTCTTTCCAATATGGGATTATCAGATTAATATCTCAGATAATCTCGCATCTCTATGTGACGTAACATTTTCTTTCACTTAATCTTGTGATATCTTTATTACAGACCACCATCACAGATATCCACCTTGTATACCTTACTAATTAGGGTGTTCGACATAAAATCAGACAATCGAAAAATCATTTTGATATAACTTAATATAAATTTTGATAGTCTTTCAACAAATTTTTAACGTAATTCTACGACTAAAAGTTCCTTACTATAACAAAATGAAAAACAATAAAAGTTTTATATTAAAATAATTTTGAAGATATTAAAAAATATCTTATCTAAAATTTAAAACTTTTTAATTGATATTGTCTTTATTCAGTATTAGGAGGAAAAAAGTTCTACATAGAATATTTTATTAATGACAAAAAATCACTAAAGTAAAGATTAATAAATTTATGTTAATTAAAATATAAAATATCAACTATCAATAACGATCTAGATTTTTTAATATTATTCAAATTTTAATTTATAATATTATTAGCGTATTAAATTAAGTTAAAAAATATATTGTAATAACTATTACAAATCAATTAAATGAACCATATAATTATAATTATAATTATTTAATTTTTGTTTTTTTTAAAAAAAAAAGTTTGCCATTAACTTAGGGATTACTTTAGATAAAACGGCTTTATGGAAGCTTTAAAACGACAAGCTTGTTTGATAATGTCTTGGGGCTAACGTGTTTTTATCCGTCTATTAAGGCTACCAGGCTGAGGCAAACTCTTCCAATAGAAAAAAAATCACTTTTTCCCCTTGTTCATCTTGATCTTCACTTTTTTTATTTCAATTTCCCTTTAATTTTTATAAACTATCCTCCTCCCTTTAATTTCTTTTCTACTTTTTTTTGTGGGGTTTTCTTTTCTTTTTGCAGATAAACGGTAGAGGTTAAACAAAAAAGGATCAAAGATGGGGAAATCATCTTCTTTGAAGAAGAAACGTTCGAAAGATTCATCTCAGGTAATTTCCTTGCTTCCCCCTTTTAAATGTGATTAATTCTTCGTATATTGTTACCTGCAATTTGTAGTTTAGTGGTTTAAAGATTTATCCTTTGTTTTGATGCCTAGGAAACGTAAGAACATTATAGAAATCCTTAGGCTCATTCTATGATATTTTCTAATACAGGGAAGTGAAAGTTGAGAAATTTGGACTGATATTTTTGTTATTTTCTTCCTATAAAATATAAAATTTGATCTTTGGTTTAGTGTGTACTTAATTTGGTGATTTAATTAGTTATAGGCTAACCCTTTATTTACCAACTAAAAGTATTATTTAATGTTTGAATGAAAGTTAGGTTGAATGTTTGGTGGATTTAATTTCTCTCCATATGTATGTATGTATGTACGTGCATTCTTTGTTTTAGTCGCGAATGAGGAAGAGTAAGGTTAAGAGCAAGAAAAGCAAGTCCAAGAAGCTTCGACGTCGACGAGATGATTCTGTTTCTTATCCAAGTGATAGTGATTTGGCTAGTATGGTGTCTGTTTCATCCTTTAGTTCTGAGGGCGATTGTAGAGGTCGAAAGTCCCGGTCTCGTAATCTGAAGGATATAAAAGGTGGAAAGAAGAGATCTAGAAGATGGTCCTCCAGTAGGGAAAGTAGTGAGGATTCTCCTAATGCAAAGAAACGTAGAAGATCGAGGAGGGGTGATACGAGGAGGAGATTGGTCAAGATGAAGAAGTCTATGAGAGAATTGAGTGTGAGTTCAAGGAGTGGTAGATCGTTGAGTTGTTCAACTTGTCCGAGTGACAATGATGAAATTGAATATGAGAAAAGAAGGGGCAGATCAGAAAGAAAGGAAAAATATGGAAGAAGATTGGAGAAGGTTAAAAGAGGAAGTAAAAGGAGTAAGGGGCAATCAAGGGATTGTTTTTCTTTGCCTAGAGATGGTGAAGGATCTGATCATTCGATTGAGGAGAGAATAACGGAGGATAGCAGCTTTAGAAAGCTGAAATCAGTTATTACTGCTGTCGAACAAGTAGATGAAAGCACTAGAGAATTGATTGCCGATGAGCCTAAAGAAGATGTATGTGATTATGATGATTATCCATCGTGCAGGAGCAATGATTGTAATGATGGCTGTAGTCGGAGGGAGTTACAGCAACACATCCATACTGTATCCGAGACAATAAAGCCTCCAAATGATGAGCAAGAAGTTTCTAGCATCAGAACAAGCAATGTTGAAATCAATGTTTCAAGTGCCACTGATGGTTTAAATGGTGATAATATTGAATCAATTTTAAGACAACGTGCACTTGAAAACTTAAAAAAGTTTCGCGGTGAGCTCCAAAAAAACATCAATTCTCAAATTACTTCGAATGATAAGAGTGTTGATGATGTTAAAACGCCATCGTCTGTAAACATAGACTCGTTTCAGATTAAAGCCCCTAAAGCAGATGATGGTAGAGTGGTGATAGCAAACCAATTGAGCCAACAGATTAGACAGCCTCCAGGTAAAAGAGACTCGTCCACTCTCCCAAGGATGATAGGAACACGACAAATACGAGTGATGATGGAAAATGTTCTGAGACTCCAGGGCTTGATGTCGCTTCCCCATCACCTCGGTTGGTCCCCACTGGTATGCCTGTGAAAGAGGTTAATACAGGTATTAATTCTGTTTCTAATAAGCCAAAGTTGGTTATATCACGAACCGGACTTGAAGCACTTAATGCGAGCAATACTCGGAAACAAGAAGCCGTTATCCAAGAACCTTCTCAGACCAAGTGGGTAACTGAAACTAGTATAGATGAGAGTGATTTAGAAGCTGCTCAAACCATAAAACCCTCCTCCGACAATGCAGCTTCTGTTTCTTATAGGCCGAAATCTGTTAAGTTGCGAATAGGACAGGAACCGCCTAATACTTGCACCACCCAAAAACAAGAATCTGCTGCACTAGAATCTCCTCGAGCTAAGTTTGTAACCGAGAGTAGCGTGAAGGAGAGTAATTTAAGAACTGCCCAAACTGTGAGTCCCGGAGTGTGTGGTAGTCTAGACAGTAAAGATAATGATATTTGTGATTCTACTTGCGATAAGCCACCCCCTTCTGGTAACATTAGCTTGGATAAACAGGAAGATGAGACCAAGGGTGGTGGTTCACAATTTCAGCAAAAGACAATGTCCGTAATGCGGGGTGGGGAAATGGTACAGGTTAGGTTTTAACCCCAGTAGTACTCGATTCATCGATCTATTTTTTATGTGTTGATCATAATGTTGTTGGATATTTTGTCTTATCTTGTCCAGGTGAGTTACAAGGTTTATATTCCTAAGAGAGCCCCTGCTTTGTCTAGGAGACGACTCAAACGCTGAGCCCTTACCTTATCCGATTTTGATTAAAAGGATGCAACTTTTGCGATGATCTGAGAATTGCATATAGGTATATGTTGGCTGATTGTGCTGTACATATTTATAGTTATAGAGGACTAAATGATAATAGACCTATTGGTTTCTGGTTGATCTCTAAGTGCAGCAGCCGTAGTAGCTGTTAGAAGCAGAGAACTAGTTGATGGAAGTATATTCTGGTAGCATTCATTGTGATTGTTATACTTTTAGACCTCGAGATTGTTGTCGGTTTCACAACACGATCGTAGTCTCTTCCACGCCTGTTGACACAATAACCATCGAAATCATTGGCTTTTTTTTTATTTGGATGTTTGATCTTTTTATTTCCTCGCATATAGATTCTAACCCATTCTTCAAGCTCTCCACCAATGATCTCTCCGGTGAAACTCCCCGGACTAAAGGGTTTATTGGGGTTCTTGACTCTTACCATTTCCAGCTTCGGTTTCTCTGGCAAGGTCTAGGTTCATAAGGATGTTTAGTTTTTTGAACTTGCTCATTTGAAAATTCTTGAATTTATATTGGAGAATATAAGTCCATAGCCAAGTCAAACACTGATATCAAACTATCCATTTAAACAAGTATAGCTGCAAGCAAACTCACTCTGCAAGATTATACAAAGTGATTATTGTTAGTGAGATTACATCTTGTAATGTGATAAATAACAAAATTTTAAATTATACATCAGTTCTGTACCCATGACAAATTTAAAACAGAATTTTTTTTATCATAATGGATGAAAACTACACAATTTCTTACAATGTTATTATGTACATCAAGATCATAAATGCGAAACTGCAAACGCACCGCAAAACATGAGATGACCTCCTCCTCACTTTTTTTACCCTTCAATTCGGGTTAAGATCGCGCGATGTTTGGCTTTGCCACCTGCATTATGGAAGGTTTCAGGACAGTTTGGTGCCATTATAACGTCACATTGTTCTAAAAAAAAAGATCGTGTGTCGAAGGATCAATAGTTTAACAAACCTGGGCAGTAGAAATCTAGCGAGAGGGCTCAAGTTGGAGTTCAAATTAAGTTCTTTATGCTGCTCTTTTATTCTACTATCTGCTTCCGCGTTTAGATTTTGTGCTGATTCAGGAGTCGTCTTGCCCTTATTGAACAACCGAGCCGCTAACTCCTACATACCTCTCATTGATGATTCCCTCGAGCTGCAAAATTTTATCTCTCGAGTTTTCAAATTAAAAGACAGAGACCAATTAAAGCACAAAAGGGATGATAGTGTGAGATGCGAAATTTGTTAACCTTGCCGATCGCTTGAGCAACCTACGAACAAGAGCTTCACAAGATCCGGGCTTTGCACCCTCCATATTTATGAGAGAATTAATAACGGCATGTACAACTGACCCTTCTGAATCATTACTCATTAGTAATGACCTATATTTTTATGCATTGGCAAACTATTCAGATGTGAACAAATTCAATGCAGACTTAATAAGTATCGGAAGCTGATATGGTAGAAGAGGAAATATAAATAAACATCGCAGTAAGTAACGTCAACCTACTTAAATACGAAGAATATTTCAAAGTTAGCTCTGTCAGACTAACTGGCAGGGAAATCTAAACTAAAACATCAAGTAGCGCGCACCTCTTTTAGGGAAGGGATAAGCAACATGGATAGTGGCGCAGATGATGATATTATCTTGGCATTTTCTTCATTGTCACTTGGTTGACGCGACCTTGGAAATAATATTTGCACATCTAGATAGTCGCGGGAACTTCCGGAGAGATAATAATACTCGGAGATAGTAACACAGCCAAAACAAGTAACCGAAACTATACAGATTCTCAGCATCAAAGACATTGAAACTTTTCTCTTTATCAGGCTTACTTGGAAGAATCTGAACTGTTGTTAATTTGACTTCTATTTTCCTGCCCGGTATTGATCTTGCTCAGTCCAGACCTATCCCTCGCATTTCCTTTCCTCAACCCTGCCTGAATTGCAGCCTTTGCCTGAATTGACATTAAAAGATGAGCTTTTCAATAGAAACCACAATCAGACATTGAATCTATAAGTTAATAATGATTCAAGTTCCACGGGGAACTCATATCGATATAATCAAATATAATTAGTGAAACATACACGCTATAGTCCATTTGATTCAAATTCAAAACCAAAGAGAAAAAAATAAAACGGTTTACAACATGATAAAACTGATCAAGAAAGATACATTAAAAACCTAGCCTGGATCTTGGAGTTCGAGGAGAATCAGATTCATCATGTTGGCGCAAAACAACGGTTCCAAAGGTAGAAGCATCTTCGTTAGAAGCATACGTGCTGCTAGACTACACAGCACATTGAAATCTAATAAAATCAATGGCTGGGACACAAGGGAACAGAGACTTTATTCACTTGAAGTTTTTTCAGAGAAACTGTCAAGGAAGTGAAGGAAGCTTACAAGAGAGCTTGGGTCGTGAAACAATGCAAGCGATAAAGATCCTCTAGGAGATCTTACGACAACAGTTCCTGACCGACAGACATTTCATCCTGGGAATAAAACAACAAAAACAATTGGCTAGATTAGAGCATAGAAGGAACATATAGTTAAGTGCAAGAGACATACTAATACAGATTAAACGAAACTGGCTCTAGCTTAAAAGAAATGATTGGTAAATCCAGCCAAGTGAATTTAATATCTAGCCTCAATCACCAGCATACAGGAAATGAGTTTTCAAAAAAGCAAAATCATATTCCTAATTGCATGTGAATTTAGTCATATGTTTAATTTCACTGTTAGTTTCAGGGAAAAAAAATGTCTCTGAAGCCCACAGGTTGTGCCATGCAACAGAGCTTGTCATTAAGGGTGTAGGAAAAAGGGGATGAGGTTTTGATGCCAAAAACCACAATGCAGAGAATAAATTTTCCATTGCTTCAAGTTTTGTTAGAAGAGAGAATCTTGCATCATAGTTATTATCCTGATTATCATCGTAGTATGAATCTCTAGTGTCTTTCCCATAGGAAATTTCCGAGAATCCATCAAGCACATTACCCCTCTCTGGAGTTCTCGGTATAGCTTGATTATTAGCAACTTCTACTTTCCTTTCTCTCACCTGTGGAGGTCGTACAGTACTTCGAACAGTACCTGAACTATTTGGTCCACCAATGCTGAAGTCCCATCCAGCCTTTTTAAATGTTGTCCCTGATTACTGCTGATCGGATCAAGTCAGCATGAGTCCCATAAAAGTTAAGAAAGTACTGCTGATTAGTATGATTAACCCACCTAGCTTGAACAGTTTCATCTCTTATATCTCTGTTCACCTTTACAGTGTCAGTAAACTCCCCTAAAGCTCTGGTGCCATTTCTTTGGGTTCTGTATCTTCCTTTAATTGATACTTCGGGCAATCTCTGTTAAGAACATAAAACACAAGCATCTTAGCAATAGCCAATGAAAGAATCTACTTGAACTTAACATCCCTTGTCATGGCATTTCAGAGACATAACTAACAACATATGTGTAATTTAGTTTCGAGAGTGTTTTGACACCTCAAAACTGTCGATACAAGTTCCGATATGTAGACTACAAAACACTAAGCACAAGGTGGCACCTAATTCTTTCCCGAAGCCTCTGACTCTTCCTAGCATTCCTGATAAAACGATGCTTGAGAAGTTCCTTGGCAATGGGCCTCTGAAATTAAACAGATAAAAGAAAAGCATAAGGCACTTTACAGCATTCAGAAAAAAAATAAAGCAAATAAAGTCAGGCTCGCACAGCTTATACCCATCAGAATTGTTCTTGAAGCTAATATATCATCAGTGACATTGTATTTTAATTGGAAGCTGATAGTGTTCAGGGAAAACTTGAAAACCTAAACAAATAGACATTCAAAAAGCATAATTACATACCTCGGCAGGTACTTTCTTTAAACATAAGGAAACAAATTCTTTCATAGGGCATGAAAAATGCTCATCCAGCTGCAGGATAGAAATTTTTATTATAGTTAAACTGAGAAGAAGAACAATCCACGAAGAACGAGAAACATGAGAATAAATCATTGAGATAAACTTCATCAATATAACAGAAGTCTACTGACATTACCTGAGTCGGATTTTCTCGAGGTATTATAAAAAGAGCTCTCATAGGGTGAAAGTCTGCCAATGGAGGTTCACCTTTGGCCATTTCAATTACAGTTATACCCATAGACCAGATATCAGCCTGTATCAGCAAAAAGCCCCAGTGATGGAATGCTCATTATTCATCAAGGGATAGCAAACAGTTATTGCAGGCTGTACATAAGTGTCTTTAAGGAAGAGAATGTGCGGATAGATTGCAGGTAAAAGAAGCAAAACATGCCAGAAAACTTGGAAAAGAACTCCAAAGTACAGCTTTCAGAAGTACCTTCTCGTTGTATCCTTCAGAATTCTGAATTACTTCTGGTGCCATCCAGAATGGTGTTCCTACAAATGTCTTAATATTGTCGACCATATTAGTTAATTGATGATTATATGACAATCACACCGTTCATGCATTAGAAAAGATAATAACGGTGGGTTAAATGGAATGCGGAATTTTTTAGCTGCTAAAGAGCATATAGTGTGGAGAAGAGAAAAGAATCATCAGTTATCAAAACTTGTCAACATTGCTTTTCTATAAAAGAAACAAACAAGAACAAAAAAATGAACTTATTTTCTACACAGAAAATGAGCAGATAGAAATCAGTGTCACTAAAGGCACAGAAAATAGTAAAAATAAATAAATGCAGCAATCAAAGCCTGGAAGGAGCCTTTATGCTTATTGCAAAAATGATGTATCTTAACAAATCAAAATACTGTACCTTCCTCCGTGATATCGTCCTTGTTAGTTGTGCTGAAACACCAAAAGCTGCAACCTGTTACAAGGGTACAAATTTCTTTCAATAGTCATGTGGATACTCATAGTCACTCTATGCAAACAATTTTTGCTAAATTAAGTCAACTTGAGAGAGAAAAGTACCTTAACATCACCATTCTCAGTCAATAAAATGTTTGCCTCTGCCAAAAGTGATGCACAAATGTTGTATGCGATGAACAAGTAAACTCACTAAAACCAAACATATATAGAAACTAACTGAAGGCTAAAAACACACAAAACATAACCTGAAGCAGAGTCAATTGACCTCTACAAGTCTAAAACCAAATGTTTTAAAGATTTTTATCTATCTATGCGACAACCATTTTTATAACGTATAAGTGGATCAAAAGAGTGAAGAAAACAACCTTTGATATCTCTGTGAATCTTTCCTTCATTATGTAAATATTCAATTGCATGCAGCAAATCTCGTGAAATACAGGCAATTGACATTTCATCTAGTGGAGGGCCTGACTGGAGCTGTACACAAAGAATCATCATTACCTTCCACGAAAATTAAATATTGTTCAGGAACTATAGTGCATCAGATCAGATAAAAAAAGTTTTCAGAAAGACAAATATAAGTGAACAAAGACCATTTCAAATGCAACCAGATAGATACGAGGAAATTTTCAGTTGAAGGTTTTCAAATTAGAGATTGCGTGCTGACACTAGAAGGGGGAGGTGGCAAAGGTCTAAAAGAAAATGCCTTGAAATTGGAGCTAAAAGCACTGGTACAGAAAACAGAGCAGAAATGCCTTCAATGTTTAGCAATCGAAAAACAGGTAACAGAAGTAACCTACTAGGTCAGCAACTGAACCACCAGCCATGTATTCCATTATTATCCATAGTTTAGTTTGGTGAAGATAGGAACCATAGTACTCTGTGATGTATGGACAACGGCATTGTGACAAAACAGAAATTTCCTGGGAAAACAAATGAAACATGTGAAAAACCTAGAAATCAACTCATTAAAGACTTGGGATACAAGAAACTAGGATAATACCTTCTGGATATCCTCAATTTCATCCCCACTGCAGATAGCAAAACAAATGCAGGCATAAGAAACAGATAAATAGCAAAAGCATAATAAACACAATGGAAGAAATAGTTATATGCCCCATCTACTTTATTGTAAAAGAAGGCACATGCAATGGGATAACTAAGCATTTTGAAGGATGAAGTTGATAAAGGAAAGAAAATTTTGCTCTGCTGATAATGCATAAACTGTTGATGCAATTAATTTATTTATCAAGCAAAAGTGGTTTATTCATCAGAAATCCCCACACATATAACATAAAACCCGAGAGTAAGAGGGGAATATGAGGAGCAAATGAGCAACCGATTAAGTTGATACTTCACAGATGAAAATCATATACAAAACCTTGTTGCTCATAGCAAGCACCTGCTACTTGAAACTAGAATGAGAAAGAAATTAAGGAAAATATAAGAAAGGTATCCACTCACGGTTCCTCTAAATCAATAACTTTAATAGCAACTTCTTTGTTCAGCTCCTTGTCAAACCTGAAGATCAAGAAAGGCATCAACTTTACAGTTCTTTTTCATTAACGGTTAGCAGTTACATTACCTGACCCATTTGAAAATAATCAATCTCAGTCTACACCAATGATTACAAACACAGTTAAAGTAACTATTATACAGCCATTTTCATGAACTGTTCCCAGATAATTAAGCCTCCTTTTACACGTCAATGATCAAATAAATAAGAGGGTAAATTAAAAAGTGGGGATTCCATGATTCCATCACATGACAAAAACAGTCTTCTCTTTCTTGGGGTTTGGGTTGTTAAATGAGGACACTCTGCATGATGTAATTTAACTTGGACTTTTAAAGATTTTCAGTTCGACAATAGCACTGGTATCAATTGTGACTAATCCACTAATCTACTCCTATATTGCTTATGAGCTCTTACAATGAAAGCAAAGCATAAAAACCCCAACAAAACACACACACACGTGACAATAAAAATTTCCCTTTTCTGCTAGGTGATAAAAATGATATGTTAAAGTGACCGGCGAACAAGAACAACAACAATTCTTACACAAATATTTAACAACTACCCTTTACAAATTTCACTCTCTCTCGATAGTGAAATCACAACAGCCCTACGTGTCTCACAAAAAAGGGAAGAAAAGAGAAACATGTTTCTCATTTCATTATTTCTTTTTTAACTTTTTTTTTACCTGTTAGATTTCGGCAGATCTTTCTCTTTGGTTCTTTCGATGTTCGGCACAGTCTCTGTATGAAGAATTTTCAGAGCTATGAAAGAGATTGAAAAATGAAAAACAAAAACTTTTATTTGTTAATTATATAAGAAACGTTTTAATTTCTAATATCCCAATAAAATATATTTCAATTATGTATAAAATATTTAGTTGATTATTTTAATAATCATAAACAATTATAAAAATAAAAACATTAAATTTAAACATAAAAAATGTACCCGCCTTAACGGGTCATACAAATATATGCATGGATGGATAATGCAACTTACACATATGATAGAAGAATTAATTGCATTAAATATATTAAATTGTCTCACATTTTTAAATTAATCTTTAAATTTTGGAAATTATATTTATACTGTTTCAATCAGATTATTCTATTAAATTAATATATGTTTAACATTACGTGACATCTTAATATGATGTTGAACATAATTAAAATACATTATTCAAATCTTAAACTAATAGTTAGATTAAAAGAATTATTTGATTGAAACGATATTGATAGCTTGATAACTTGATTAGAATGTTTTAAAGTTTATGAATTAATTTAAAATATGAACCATAGTTTAGAAACGTCTAATGAAATTAATTTTTAAATATACAAAATAACTACAAAATTCATCACTCAATTTTATTTTTCTCATTCCTATTTTGATTATTTAATTTTTTTTAATTTAATCATTACCTTTTAAAATTTTCCATGCCGCCTTCTCCTTCCACTCCTCCCTAATACAACCGCGACCTAACAGTTCGACAGATCTCTTCCTACTTTTGAATCACATTTCAATGACTCCTTTCTGTTTTTTATTATTATTATTATTCTAAATACTGCCTTTAAACTCTAAAATGGTATCTAATATTTGACCTTTTTTTTTTACTTTAAATGAAATATCGACAAAAACATATGAACACAACATGTCTTGGTCGGATTGAATTGAAAGTAGAGTATCATAGTTTGTGATTCATGATGATTTTTGGGCCTAAACCCACTTTTGTATTTCTATCCAACACCAAAATTGTCAAGGATAAACTACGAATTTAATCATACAACTAGTATTTTGGTTGATCATTCATTGTTAAAAATAAACAGAATTATTGATGTGATAAATTTTTATTTTTTTGAATGATGAAATGTCATTACTTTATGGTGACACATCATCATCACTGTTAATTTTTTAATAGTGGGTGACTAAAACGGAACTAAAAAATAATATTATGTATTATTTTAAAAAATAATAATAATTAGGTGATCAAAACGAAATTAAATTGATAGATGGGTGACTAAATTTGTAGTTTACCCAATTGTCAAAGTGGATCTGATGATGGCTGTAAAAAATAAATTGAATAAATTGATTAGTTGATAAATTATATAGGAAATACGTACATAAATCATCCTTTAAATTTTCTCAAAATATTTTTACTTTTAAATAGTTTCAGTTACTTTTGTAATTCCAGCTATTGAATTGATGTCTGATTAACTCATACAAGATGTAAAAATATATTTTTATTATATATATTAAATAATTTTTAATAAATTTATAAGATTGAAAGGGTGCATTAACTCACGTGATGATGAATTCTTTACTAATAGGTAAAAAGTTGGAAAGAGATGGGCTTGCTCTGCACTTTATTTATTTTATTTAATTTTTTCAGAGGTTTGCTCAGAGAAATCATAAATTTGCAGTTACTATACTTAATAAACATATCAAAGGCTAAATTAAAGGAAAAATAAAGTGGCCCCACAAACATAAAACAAATATATTTCCCTAAAGGAATCTCTCTACTTTTATCAATATTTAAACAATGTATGTTAATTATCATTTTATATAATAGAATGGTATTAAATTATTGGCATAACGACACAATTATCTCTTTTATATTTAATAAGAAATCATTTTTTTATTCGACATATTTCATCTCTTAATATTTTAATTTTAGTCAAAATAAATATTATTATATAAAAATAGATAGTTATTAATTGTCAACATATATTACTGACGCGATATTTTTATATATATTTAATTAATGATGTGATATATGTAATGTCATTAAAATGATGGTATAATATGTTTCACATCCTCCAAAATAAAGACATGGTATATATAACGTCAACAAGTGAATATATATATCATGTCAGTAACATATGTTGAACACTAATCAACTAGTGATCTTTATATAACAGAGTTGTTTAACAAAAAAATGAAATGTTTTTACAAAATAATTGGGGACAAAATAATTATTTGGGTAAATATTGAGGATAATTATGTCATTGAACCAAATTATTTAAATAAACTTATGAATTTAAAATATAATGTCATGAATTGAATAAACTGAATAAACAAATATTTTGTATAATAATTTTGTTAATTTTTATTTTGGCGATTGATGTATCATGGAAACAGGAAAAGGTTGTAGCAATCATCTCTTTCATTTATATATAGTTTAATTCTAATCATAAATGTTTTCAGGGGCTTAGTTCAAATCGTGCATTATTATCCATTAATTAGTTAAAAAGGTAATATTGTAATGATATGCCTTTTCATTTTTCACATTTACTATTGGGAAATTGATGATTTGAAAGATTATTTAGCATTTCAAATACTTATAGACAATACAATAATTTCACATGAAATTTTATTCCAAATTGTTTTGCCTAATAATTACAAGAGCCGAAAGTTTACAAAGTTTAAGACTAAGCTTCATTGATTAAATGAAGACAACTTAATCATCTAAAACAAATTAGATATGGATCATTATTTAATTTTGAGTGTTGTTAGAAGTTTAAAATATGTTTATTTATTTATTTTGAATAATAACTAAAAAAAATTAGTCTTTCGTTTACCAATAAAATTTGGAAATATTATGGGTAATTATTTTTAAAATGTAGTTGATAAGAAAATTTATTTCAAAATATAGACTATTTGCTACAATATACGAGTAATTCATTATGCTTATACGATGAATTTTATAAAATACATTAAAGAATAAAATTTATCATATGGATTAGAATAATTATATATAATTCATCATGTATACATGTTAAATAGACTAGACAGATTATATTGAACTCATCATATGTTAATGATCTAGTATTATATTTTATGAAATTCATAATTTTCATCAGATAAATTCCAAATATTCTATAACAAATGATATACATTTCAAAAATAATTTTTCAAACACTTGTATATATTTAAAATTCCGACAAACAAAACCTCATTGTACTTGAAACATCTCCGCAAGAAAATAATATTTTAATTAATTAATAATAATCAAATCCCATTCTGTTTGTTATTGGATTCCATTCAACATGCCTAATTTGGACAGTGACTATCTCCCCTGTCGCAAATAATAATCAAATACTTTTATAGAGGCGCGTGATTAGAAAAAAGCCCATGGTGGTGAAAGGGAGGATGCCGCAGAGCAGCAGCGCCTCCGCAATTCGTGCTCTTTGGCTTTTGTTAATGAGAAACGAGGCACAGACTCACTGCCGATGGCACGTGCACACGTGACACCTTAATCACCCACCCACTCTCTGACACATTCACATACTTTTTCTTTATTTGTATTTTGTTTAATTAAAGTTCTGATTAAAAATCTTATTTAACATAATCATCTTATTTTTTAAAAAATAAAATGATGATGCCGGTTACTTTTACACCGTTTAATCCACATTGCTTCACTTTTTATTAGCCTTATTATGTAATGATAAACGCATGATCTCATAAAAGCAAATCATGTTGACAAAACTTTCTTAGCTTGCATCAACATTCAATCATACTCACAAAAGTATAAATGCAATCCAACTTATTTCAAACATAACTATAGATATTACTAATTTCGTTTATTTATTATATCGATTATATTATCATTTAAGATGTTTAAGGTAAATTGTTGTTATTCCTTAAGGACCTAAGTTCGAGCATCATAGATGTCAAGGGTATGAATGTTTAATGTCGAGAGATTGATAATTATATTTAAACATATATTGCCTTGTACTTACCCCAAATGAATAAAAAAAGATATTTAAAATATAAATTAAATCATATAAATTAATTTATAATTTATTCTAAACACTCAATAATGTTTAAAGTTTTGGTTTATATTTGAGTTTTAATGAGGTATAATCTAATTACACAATGTTAAATTTTTGTTAGTTTGATACAGACTAAAAAACGTTAGATGAATAAAAATAGACAATTGAATTTAAATATAGAAAATAAAAATATATTTATTAAAAATAAAAAAATAATTTCAAACGTATATTTTGATTTAATAGATATTTTTTAAGATTATTAACCATAAAATGTGTTTTATTCTGAAAGTCGAATCCAATTACATAATTAAATGATAAGATAATCAATGTGTCATATACTGTAGTTAATTGTAATTATAATTGTAGTTTAAAAATAATAAATCATAAAAAAATTATAATTACAAATATATATATATATATATATATATATATATAAAGTTGGCGAAGTCTTCTTCATCAGGCCACTCCGAAACTTATTATTTCAAGTGGTAAAAGGTAAAGATGGAGAGAGGGAGAACGACAAAAGAATCGGAAAGAGCCTTTCTTACTTTGTGGTTAATAAGCAGAGAAAAGAGAGATAAAATGAAAAAGAAGGTACAATCAAGATAAATAAGCCTAAAGGCCAGCATGAGCTTACCCAAAGCTTATATAATCAAAGAGGTGTCAAAACCAGCAGCAGACACCACTGTATATCAAATAAAGTTGTTTCCTTTCTCACATAAAATTATATAAATATATACAAACACTTATATATATATATAGAGAGAGAGAGAGAGAGAGAGACGGAGGGAGGGAAGGTAGAGAAGAAAGAGATAGATGGTGGGCTCAGGTTCAGCTGATAGGAGCAAAGAAGCTGCTGAGATGATGGCTCTTCACGAGGCACTTAGAACCGTCTGTCACAACTCAGACTGGACTTACTCTGTTTTCTGGACCATCCGTCCTCGCCTGTATCTTACCTTCCTTTTGTTCTCTATACCAAATCTTCAATTTTTCTTCTCTTTTCATTGTATTCATATGCTCTCACTTTAGTCACTTTGCTAAAGTTTCCTTTTTTTGTTCTCCTTTTTAATTTACTTTTCTCAGCTGTTTTACTGAATCGGGTTTCTTGTTTTGGTGTAGGAGAGTGAGGGGCGGTAATGGTTGCAAGGTCGGAGATGACAACGGCAGCTTGTAAGTATGGTTTTGGGGTTTCCCTTTTGAACTTATTTTTCCCCCTGCTTGTTTGGTTCCCGAGAAAACATAGGCAAATGAAAGAAGTTCAGAGCTTTTAAGTGTTTTCAAACTTTTGACTATAAGTTAATGAGAAAACACAGGAAAATGAAGAACTTCAGGGTCAAGCATTGTTTGTTTCCTTATTGAAACAGGGGAAATTTTGTTAATGAGGGATTTTGAGTTATTTAATTGATCTTATGAGATGGGTTTTTATTAATCTGTGATTTGGAGGTATTTTCATTTCCAAAATTAGCAACTTTATAAATAATTTTCTGGTATATATGGAATTTCCCCCTGTTTCTTTTTACCTGGTGAAGGATGCTGATGTGGGAAGATGGATTTTGCCGAGGAAGAGTGACAGATTATTTAGAAGAGATGGATGGAGAAGATCCAGTGAAGGAAGCTTTCAGCAAATTATCCATTCAGTTATATAATTATGGAGAAGGGTGGGTACTGGGTAGGTGCTATTAATATTTCACTAGATTTAGCCTTAAAAAGGGGGGAAATAAATTTTTTATTTTTTTCTTAGTGTATGTTTTTGATTGGTTGAAAATATGATTAATGAACAGGTTAATGGGGAAAGTTGCATCAGATAAGTGCCATAAATGGGTGTTCAAAGAACCAACGGAATGTGAGCCCAATGTATCCAATTATTGGCAGAGTTCTTTTGATGCTGTATGTTTACAATAAATACCCCACCTGTTTCTTTTTGTTGTTAAAACCTTAATTGTTTGCCCTGATTTTGAAGAAAGGCTGTGTATTTATGGATGATGGTAAGTTGGTAACCTTCCCCTTTTGTTGTATTTAATTTGCAGCTTCCTCCTGAATGGACTGATCAATTTGACTCTGGGATTCAGGTCTGCACACAAACTACTTGTTCTTCACTGTTAGTCTTTTTGTGATTTGTTTTTGTCTATCTTTCTCGGATTCGGTGTAAGTTTCCATACCATGTTGATATGCATACTCGACGTGTCCGACGTTTACATTAAAGTTTGAGTAACATGTGTTTTCGTGTCATTCTTATTTTCTCTTGACCAGACAATTGCTGTTATTCAAGCTGGCCATGGTCTTCTCCAGTTGGGTTCTTGCAAGATTGTGAGTCTGATAATAGCATTTTTTCCATTAGTATAGTGGCTGTGATGTATAATAATTTTGATCTTCTTTATGTGTGTGTAGTTATATATAAATATGATGTATGTATGTATGTATATCCTCAGATACCTGAAGATCTCCATTTCGTGCTAAGAATGCGGCATACCTTTGAATCGCTTGGCTATCAATCCAGTTTCTATCTCTCTCAGATGTTTTCGTCGAACAGAAATGGTTCGCCATCGTCTATGGTTCCTTCAAAGCATTCTGCCGTTTCGACCTGGTCTCCACCGCCTTCAGTCTTTGGCTGGAACCAGAGGCTGCAACCACCACCAGCTCCGATGGTTGCTTCACCTAATTTTCAGAACCCGGCTAGACTCAGATTTCCGCAAGCCAAAGATGAGACCAACATGTTTCCCATGCCCCATTCATCTGAAACCAGAATGGAAGATACGATGAATGAACATGAAAACAACATCAAATGGCCGAACGGCTTGACTTTCTTCAACATTCTCACCGGACGGGGTGAAGACACCAACCTTTTAGTTAACCGGAGAGCTTAGGAACCAAACCAGCACGGACCACCATCCCCTTATTGTTGGAGGAAGAGATTCTAATCAGAATTCTGACGCTGATGCGAACCCTGCCGAGTTCTTGAGCTTGGATAGCCATACGGAGAATATAAGGAAGATGGAAAACAAGTTTAAGAGGAGCTTTACATTACCTGCAAGAATGGCTATGTCTTCGTCCTCGACATCGTTAGATCATCATCAGCATCAACCAGCAGAGATTTGAAACTCCGACGCGGGGATGTATGCTGCTGCAATGGATACCTTCTTGAAATGAAGGGCTTATATTAGAGGGACAATAGGGCGAGTTTTTGTATTTACGCAAATGTGTTATTCAGTTGCCGAACACCTTCGTTTGCTTTGATGTTCTTTTTAAATCTCTCTTTGATCCATTAAAATCGAACTTTTTGATCCTTTTGTAGTTTACTTTCAGATCAATGAATAAAAAATTATCAATTACATCATTAAATTTTTATTTTGGTTTTGATTTAACCCTGTATGAAACTTAATTTACTTCTCATCCCTTGGTGGCACTCCCTTCTTGATGATGATCACCTTGTTTCTTGCCTCTCAAGGCATCTTTCCTATTCCCCCACTATTCTTCCTCCCGGATGCCTCACGTCTTCTGAACAGGCACCGCCGTAATGTACTGCCATCTCTGAGAATCCCCATATAGCTGAGCAGTTACAATTTTGCTTGCTTTATTACAGCATGGATCTTTCCATGGTACAACAACCTCCTCTCCGAATTGTCTCTCGAGCTCGTCCGTGCACTGCTGCAAGTACTACTCCAGCTGTTCATGTTGTTACTTCTTGAAGACGTCAACGAATCCTTGCTGTTGATACTGTTTGTTGCAGGCGGTAAAGGAAAGGCATGCGGAAAGAGTTTACTGTTAAATAAAATATGATCAGCAGGAAACGTCCTATACTTATATATAGAGCAACGAACTTCATTTAGGCTATATTTAGGCTAAAGCAATGTATTTTAATTGTATAGAGCAACCACCTTCATTGCTCCAATATACCTCACAAGCAAATGTAAGAAGATGATGATAATATTAGGTGTTTAAGAATCATTGATATTTTTATTCGAGATTTTTAATGTTTGATAATCATATAAGTCTTGATTATATCTGAAGTTAAATTTTCAACGTTTTTTCATTTATAAGATTTTAATAATAATTTATCATTAGACCCGAAAGATGTTAGCTCATAATCTTGTTTGAGCTTTATATAATTATAAATGAGTTTGATATTGAACCAAACGTATTAAAATTTATGGACATTTTGCTTATGATAATCTAAGTAGCAAATGGGGACTCTTCAACATAAAGCGAGAAAGAGCTTTATAGACGATAGAGATTGAGTTATTGTCTTCTTAGTTTCTCCCACACAAATGCTTAGAAAAATTGTTTCAAGTTGATGCCAATAAGTGCTTATTTGATAGTTTAGGCTCTCTCAAGACCATGGTTATCATCATGGGATCCATTCACCTATCGTCCCTAAAATATGTTTTAGATTCTAAATTGGTCCTCGGGTTCCAAAACATTTTAATTAAGTCTTTAAGTAGAAGAATCATATCAACCAACTTCTTCTATTAGATAAATGGTCAACTTGAATGTTAAATGTCAGTCTAGATTTGGCATAAATAAAATTTAAAACAAAAATCAAATTTTAAACATTGTGTTTCTGTTATATAGATAATTTAGACATATTAATAATACAGAAGATTGTGTTACTAAAATTTAGGAATATCATTTATCATATTTAAATTATTTATAGAATAAATATATATATATGCTTAAAATTTAATCCACCTATTTTAAATATATCTATGTCATATTAGAATTATCTTTTAATATTCAAAATAATAAATTAAACAGAAAAAGGCTCATACTGATAAGATGTCAATACTTTAACAATTAAATTAAAATAATTTGAAATTTGATAGGGATATCTAGCATAATTAGTTTTTATTTTTTATTTGGAAAATGATACATATATAGCAAAAATGATATTTTATATTCTAGATTATTGAATTTAATTTAGACCATAAACTTTAATTTGATCAAATTACATCATTCAATTTTCATTATTAATAAATTAAACAACTCATACAAATATTATTAAATAATTGGGTAAAGTACACAAAAGGTCCCCGACTATATGGCGTTGCTTTGTTGATCCTCTGACTATTAAAAGCTACAAAATGGTGACCCGATTATTCATATATTCCAAACTCGTCATTCTCTGTTAAAAAATTAACGACATGAGTTGGACGTTAACCTGTTGAATGATATGATAAAATCTGATCCAAAATCTCAAACGACTATCATATCTCAGTCAACAGGTTAACGTCCTTTTAACGAAAAATGATGAATTTAGAACATATGAATAGTTGAGTGACTATTTTGTAACTTTTAATAGTCGAGAGACTCAACAAAGCCACACTCTATAGTCAGATGACTATTTTATAACTTTTAATAGTCAAGGTACTCAACAAAGCATCACCTTAAAGTCAAGGACCATTTGTGTAATTTACCCTAAATAATTCTAATAATTAAGATTTTTACTTAATATATTTTAACATATTATCGTCAAATAATATTTAATTGACAATTTAAATAGTTTTATATTAGAATTTATAGAAACTTTAATTATTTTCTTTCAATTTACTTATATCAAATGTTTGAGAAAATTTTAATAAAATATTGTTTAAATTATAATTAAACATTATTTATTAAAATATAATTCAGTCTCTCCTCTTTTACTTTCACAGCTCTCTCCTTTTCTACCTCCTCATCATCTTGTTTTCTGTCTTTATCCCCAGGCCCTAGCTTTTGTTTTTCTTTTGTTTCCTCTCCCGTATTAGATTTATAATTACATAATATACAAGCTCTTTCCATATTCGAAAGCTATTAGTAATGGCAGAGAAATCCTCCATAAGATGAAGGTACATGCTCTTATATTACTATATCAATACCATCTCTATTAATCTTTATCTTTTACTTTTTTACTCAGCTGCATATATTTATGATTTACTGAGTAAAAAGTCGGCTTAGGTTCCAGTACAGGTGAATCCGGGAAAGGGAAAAGCAAGATGTCCAAGAACATTAAACATGGCTATCATCCCATGGAGGACTATGTTGTTTTCGAGCCCCCTTGGGTTCTATCTTTTGCTACTAATAAATGGTCAAATATGTACATAATACTCGCCTGCCCAAAATGTGTCATCATAGCCTTTACTCAAATACAACTGACATAGGAAATTATATAGCATATATATGATCATTGATACAATAGTAGACTCCATAGAGATACAGAGCTATCGGTACAGAAAGCATAGATTTGACGACGATGTGAGCTGCAAGAAAACAAGATTCCGAAGCCGTTGTTATTAGATCTTCCGTTATAGTATGGTAAGTAACTACTACATAGTGCGAGACATGAACTGTTGGAAGACAGTCACAGAAGAGAGGGAGCATGCTGAATACAGATTTTGGTCTTTAAGCTCTTTATCTGATATGGGAATTCCTAAAAGATGAATTTCCAGGGATTGTCATTGGAACTCTGGCTCTTTCTGCAGATGATTCGGCTGAGGTCTTCCTACGCCTTTCATTGTGTACGGCCAACCGACTCCGGCAGCTCCTTTTTGCTTCGTCAAACTCTGATAGCTCATGGAACCTGTGAACATATACCAAGACATCAGAAATGCTCAAATTGGTTAACTTGTAGGACAAGTAATTAGCTTTCTAAGCGTGGAACTAAAGAAACAACAAAATGATAAAAAAATCATAAGCAAAACCTGCTGCATTGCTGGCAGAACCTTGCCTGATCCCGGAAACAACCACAACCGGGACCTTAGCATGAACCTCGCACACCTTATGACGCCGGTGGTACCGCTTGGCAGCCGATAATTCAACCCCACAATTTTCCACTTGACAAGAAGGCGACGACACCCAGCCACCACCACCGGATCCTGTCCTTCCAGATGATTTCTTCTTCTTTTCATCTTCAGGAAAACCATGATAACCAACATCCCCCTCTTCCTCTACCCCCTCTTCACCTTCATACATGTCATTGTCCACATCTTCAGCCATGAAATCCCTATTCATGTTTTTTGCTTACAAACCACTCTTGTTTCTTCTCAAACCTATAAGCTTCCATCTCAGGAGAAGTGGAGGGATATAAATACGCAAAAAAAAAAAAAAAAAAAAACAGAAGAAAAAAGGAGTCGAGACCACAACCAACATCTTTCTTCTTGCAGGTAATCCTATTATTCTGTATAGTATTTTTGCTGGTGAATGATTGAGAGTTCCAAAAAAGAAGCAGTTTGTGGGGGAATCTGGATTTGTTATAAATAAATATGCAAATTACAAACTCAATTATTGCTTTTCAAAAAGGAGTAGTTTTCAATTATAAAAACTCAGTTGAATTAACTCATGAGAGAGACGTATCAAAGGAAGGGTCATCGAAATGAATACTGTATAAGCAAGCAATTGTGTGTACCTGTTCGAGTAGGACTATGCTTTATCTACTTCTGTCTTTTTTACCAGACATGAAGCAATGTTTATTTTTCCTTCGGTTTCAATGTGTGTTATCATTGAATTTCATTGCATGGATGAATGGAAAACTCGTTTAAACTGTGCAACTTGGGGAAGGATAATAAGAATGAAAGAAAAATAGAAACCTGAAATTTATGACGTTGACACAACACACAGTTTCACATGGCCATTGTACTATATATGGTACCCCATAAAATTGTTTCAGCCAAAAACTTGCAGACTTCATACTTATTATCATCAAGTGGAGAGGTGAAGATAAGGGGGTTACCAGGTGCCATGGCCCCTCAAATTTATTTTGAACTCTTTTTTAACCATATTAAAAGTACCTTAAAATTTAAGGTATATTGGATTATTATTTTCTATACTATTAATGTAAATAAAATAAAAATTATAAGTCAATTACGATGATGATACATGTTTCGTTTATTTATTTATTTGGAATTTTGAATATATTTTTTAAATGTAATATTAAAATTTATTTTAACGTTTGATAAAATAGTTAATTTTTTTTAAAATATTTTAGTCCCAACGATTTGTTTTGGCAGCAATATGCTTGTTGGGCGGATGAAAATCGTTAATTATTAACAGTCAATGCTTGTCATTGATGTAGTATAAACTGTATCATCACTTTGAACATGTGACATATTTCATGTTATTATTTTGGACACGTGACATATGCCGCGTCATCACTTTTGGACACGCAACGTATACCGCGTCATAACTTTTGCACGCACGACATGTACACGTCATCACTTTTAAACATACAACATTTACCACATTATCACTTTTGGACACACAACATGTATTACATTATCATTTTAGACACGTGACATATATCATGTCAACACTTTATATACATAAGGCTTGTCACGTCAGTGATAAGTGTTAACCTTTAGTCAATAAAAAATTTCATCCAACAAAAGATCATTTTATCCCAAAATGAAATGTTAAGAACAAAATACCGTAAAAAATATGGACTATAGTGTCTGTTTAATCAAACGTTAAGAATATTTTTTGATATTATATCTTAAAAAAAATTACATAATGTAACGAGTTTAATTAAGTGATATTTTATAAAATTGAAATTATAAAGATAAACTAGAAGAATAAGAGCACGTGATGTCTTTTATGAATGTTTGTGGTGATCCGTTAATTATGTGTACACTTGCAAATTCCATGCTTCTTTCACCTCCCCCACTTCCTCATTGCTCATTTTCGACGAAATTCAAATTCGATCCCTATCAGTTCAACATCATTTCCCCCATATTTTTCACCACTATATATCACTAAATTCCCCATCATTCTCATTTTCTAGTTGGCTTTATCTCTCTAGATTCTCTCCTTTTCTTCCTCATTTTTTTTCTTCCTTAATTGACTCTCAAATACATTTTGAGCATTAAAACATGGTGAACTTCCTGACTTTTCAAACCCACTTTTCATTTTCATTTCTTTCTTTCCTTCTCAGAAGAACGTACAGCAATAGGGTTTTTTGATATATAAAAAAATATTTAAAATTGGTGAAGGGACAACTCTAGGATATGTAATTAGAGATGCATGGGGAGTTTAAGGTAAGTTTGGAACTTATGATGTGAGAACCATTATATAAAGAAAGGGTATACAGCTGTTTGATGAGACACCCTTTATATTCTCCTTAGGGTCTTTCTCAAAAGTATGCTTCGTAGAAATATTTTCTATTCTATATTAAAATTATTCATTGTAAATATTAATCGTATAATTAGTATACATTTATACCAAATTTATACACTTAGAATTTGAAACTAAGACCTCAGTTTTTCATGAACAATAAACCTAAAAAATAAAATACTAATATATTTTTTTGAAGAAACGTGCTCATATTATTATTAAAGGTCCGAAATACGAGAAGGAATCGAAGTAGATAAAGAGAACTTGGCAAGTGTATGAATTTCTAGGTTGTTGTCACGAGTAAATTGGATCCTGATGTCACCCGGTTTGGGTGAGGCCTTTTCGCAAAGGGCATAAATAAAAGTCAAAACATTGGTTATTGCCTCTCTTATGGCTTTTCATTGTTAACGTAGACATGCGTATCAGATTCCAGGTTTCTTCATCGGCCCATGCATGCAAAACCCACAAATATTGAACAATTTTTTTTCTTTCAATTTGCCAAAGCATTGGCTGATAGTATACCATTTTTCGCAACCACCAGTACATTGCTTTATTTAGTTAAAGGTGAATATATAAATGTCATGTTTATGTTATGTTTTGAAAGGGATAGCTAAATTTTGGACCTTTGTGAGATATGTGTATATTTCAATGATCAATCCATCCTTCTTCTTTTTTCTAATTTCGATATATATCATATGTTTTAAGATTCATTTGATTTGGTCTAGATTTAGAATATGATCGTATTTCATGAGCTTTTCACAATAAAAATACAAATTTAAATATGTTTAAACTTCTAAGACTAAGTACTTCTTGTTGTTGCAATAATTTGGAGACTGAGTTATAACAGAGACAAAATTAAGAAATTCTATTAGCGGTCGAGATATAAAGATGAACTCTTGCAAGGTTCAATATTGGAAAAAAACATGTAAAAATAACTAAATTGAGTTATTTATTATTTACTCAAAGAGGGTTAAAACTATATTTTTTTCTAGATTTATTGAAAAAATAAATACTCAAATTATATCTAAAACTAATAATAGATAGTGTACTAAAAGGTAAAAATAGGTGTTTAAAGAATTTTTCTAGAAAATGTAACACTTTAAGGTGTTGGTTATAACAACCATTAAATTCGATGTCATTTCACACATGTCAAACTTATAAAATTTTAAAAACTTTATTTTAAAATAGAAAACTTAAAATTATAATTTATTTATAAAAAAATATTTTTTAAAAATCTTAAAATAATCTAAAAAAATTTAAAATTCTGTCGCCACTCACTCATTGATCCATCATTGCCTTTATTATACGCTAAATCTTTAAATACATAAATTCTCAAATCTTCAATCTTAATCTTAAATTTAATGAGTAAAAGATTTAGTTAGTATTTAATTCAAACAATCTCAGATATTGTGAGGGACAGGGACAGAGTCGATAGACGAAGGGAAGGAAAGTTGAGGGGGAAGAAACTTTGAGAGGAAGGCCATGGGGAAGGAGAAAGGAGGAGAAGGGGACAGGGACAGGGACAGGGACAGGGACAAGGAGAATATTTTTTAGAAAAAATAGCTTCTTTTTCTGAAAAATGATTTTTTATTAGAAATATAGTATTTTATTTTTTAAAATTTCTGAAAAAAAATTAGAAAAAATATAAGCGTGATACGAATAATATACTAATAACAATCACACGTAAAGGTGTAATACAAAAAAATTTAAAATTATGGGGTAAAAACGTTTTAGCATTATGCACCTAAAAATAATTAATTATGAAAAAAACGTTTTAACCTAAAAATATAATAAAAAAACGTTAGATATCTAATGCACCTTTTTTTTTTTAAACTTTTTTAGGTATAACTTTAATATGGTTTGAACATTTATTTTCATAAATTTTTCTTTAAAATGAAACAAAAGGCTAAAAAAACTTAAATTCAATTATTACTTTTTAGAGGGACTCAAACATGGAATTCTTCCATTTACAGATAAAAATGAAAATTTATATACTAAAAAAATATATAATTACAAAATCTTTATATCTATTTTAGAGATTGAAATAGTATTTGAGTAAAATTCTTAATTGAACTTAAAGAAGTCCACCAACCATTTTGGTAAAATTGCAGGCTGTTTAAATTAGCTAAATATATGGAACATTTTAAACATAAATTTAAATTATGTTTTTTATTATAAAATTTATAAATGTGCAAGGGGTCTCGATTAAAAAAGAGTTAATCTGCGTTCAAGTAGGATTGTTTGCTAAGTACACGAATTTATGGGAAAACATATTATCTTATTTTATTTTGCATTAACATATACACATTTTATAAGCTTTAATTGGATCTTCTACCTCATCACCAATCTACCTTCTTCAATTCCTCCTCAATACTTCTATATTCTTGGGTATCGACAAGTTGATCCACTTTCCTAATCTCATCCACCGCTACATCTTCTGTAAACTCATCGTCATCCTCATCCACAACTCGTTCTTTGATACCTTGTGCACCATCTTTAGCCGCTCTCCAAGCTCCATCCATGGTCTTTTTAGCACTCTCCCCCACATTCTCCGCTGCCTCAACCGCCTTCTTAATCCCGTCTTTCGCCGTATCCTCCCCAAAGCTCGCTTGGCTAGCGGGCGGCTACCCTTCTCCGGTGACAAACGAAGGATAGGTCTCGTACATGCTGTCCTTCGGTGCGTCATCCGGTGTCGATAACCCTTCTGCGTCGGCTACCGCATTACTTCCCTACATTGCATATAATTCAACCAACCATATCAATCAGATAAGCAAGCCCTGGTGATTTTTCTAGCAGATTGGACTCCAGGAGGAGCTTGAGGCAAGAACTTTGGGATGTTGAAGAAAGCTCTCTTCGCCAAAAATGTTGCTTCCGTGCTTATTTTATTACTCTCTTTTTCTTGGTTGAAACTATTAATATTCCTCTTTCACCTCTTGGGTTCCTAGTTATACTCTTTTGTTTTCGAGGGTTTTGATTTTTGTCGTGTTAAAGAGTGACATCTGGGGTGGAACCGGACACGTTTCGGTCGTTGCACGACCAGCTGAGGATGACTCATTTTGTTTTTGTCTGCCTTTTTTTTTTATAACGGTTTTAAGGTTTTTGTGATGGTTAATGGTTGTAGGTAGCGGCGCGGCGGTTTTGATCCATAATTCAGGGTTTAGGGTTTTATAGTTTGGTTATGGATGGACTCATAGTCTTGGGTTTGGTATGTTTGAATTGGGCTTATTCAGGCCCAATTTCCAATCCATCACATCTTTTTCTTTTTTTAAAGATAAATTCTTGCCCAAATCTTATATATACATTATGGTTTAGTTTATAAGTGATGAATCAATCATATTATTTTATGAATACAATTATTAGATTCGAAATTAAATGTTAGTTTAAATTTGATTTTAAATAAAATTAAAATATTTCAATTAAATTATAAATGTATATATCTATTATAGCTTGAATTTGATATGTTAAAAATATGTATAAATATGTTTATTATTTAATTTATATATTTTAAATATATTTCGAGTATGATCGGAACTTTAGAGTAATTCATTTAGATAAAGTTAAAATAAAAGAGGAAGACAAAGAAAGAAATAAAGGGATGAGTTTGATTGAATGGATACTATGATTGAGAAATTAAGAAAAAGGCAACCAATAAGAAAGAGAAGCAAAAATGTGAAACAAACAAAGTCTTTTCCCTTTCCCTTTTTCATTTTCACGAGCATAATCATAGTTTCCCCTTTGAAATTACAAGAACCAGCGACCATAAAAACATTTCAAATATCTCCTTTACCATTAGATAAAGTTCAATCATTTTGTTTCTCTTCCAAGTCTCAAAACTTATATCATTTTTAAAGTGTATGCGTCACATTGAAAAATTGACTAAAATACATGGGGGGCGTTCCTGATATTGTCTCTTTTCATTCAACTAAATTTCATTATAATATATGTTTTCCGACTATAGGTGAATATGTTTTCCATTTAGGTAAACGACTTTGGTAGCAAATGCATGGACAAGAAAAGCATGAATATGAGAATTTATTAAGCGGTTTTCGTAGTTAACAAAAATATTGATATATTTAAAGGTTTCAAGTTCAAATAATTACGTTTGCAATATTATCAATAATTAAAAAAATTTCTTAACCTATAATATCATATAATCACTCCCAAACTATTAAACGAAATGAAAGAAGAACGGGACCAACCATATAGACATCGAATTTCCTATTATATGTGTCATATAGGGCCATAGGAAGCATTATGAATAAGACAACTCCGTTGTCTCTTGAACAATTATGAAGGGAAAAAAACACAAGGGGACCCTAAGCTAATGTCAAATTTCAATTGGAAAATGAAATTTCTTCCCATTTAAAAAACCCCAAAGCCACCATGGAAAAAGAAGTTGGTGAAAGTATTTGAAATGAGTACATTGACAGCTATTAATTGATTGATTTAAGACCCAAAAAATAAATTTATCATTAATTTTTATTTTTAAAAAAATATATAATATAATCTTTTTTTATTTTATAGAATCAAAACTTTTACTTCGTCATTGAAGGAAATGCTTGTGAAGTGTTTAGATTGAGCTTGCACTGCACCTTATTGGTAAGTAAATCTTACAAATTTCCTTTTATTTCATAGTCAATCCCTTATAGTGTGAAAAGGTAAAATAAAACATGACCTAAATGATAGTTAATTTTCCCAACCACTCTTTGACTTTATAGATCTTGCTTGTTTTGAAGTAAGGGACCAAGATAAAAGAAAATAAAATGGTTGCATAGCTTTTTTTTAAAGGTGTATTGAAGGGTAAATTACTCCAATATTGTAATTGTAATGTGTTTGAAAAATAAAATTACAGTTATAATATTGGAGTAATTTACTCGTGTCTTGAAATATCCAAATTAGCTAACCCTTATTCCCATATGTAATGGGGTAAGGGAAGGAACGATAATAGGCTACCCCAACGCCAGGTTGAGAGCAACGACCTCAAGATTAAAAACCTTGTGCTCTACCAACTGAGCTGGATAGACAACTATTGTATTGGAATATCCACATCCTCTTAAAAGATGTGTTTGAAAATGTTTCACCCTGTCCTCGTAACTATAGACTAAAACGTTTATCTTATTTGATTAATTAGAATATCCATTGATATTAATTTATTGATTGATTAATTTAAATTAAATGGTGAAAATTTATCATAAAAATATTTTTTTTAATTTTTTTTCATATATAAGCTCTTAACTGAACTATTAAACGAGTGATGATAGAAGTCTCTTACACTATTTCTTCTATTTACAATACCGTTGATAGTTGTATGATGTTGATAATCAAGTCTTGTTAAACAATACAAAGAAAGTCAAAAAGGAGAATGCTCTTGTCTCAAACACCATTTATTTGACAGATAACAACTCCCACCCCTAAACCCTTTCCATCAAAAGGTGGAAAATATAACAAAACTTTATATATATCCATTGATGAAATACAATTTCAATCAATAAACTTCCATTTTCTGGGAATACCAAATCATTGGTGAAAATATAAAGGTCAATCAAAGAAGATTTAATGCTAATACTAAGAGAAACATGACTGCTCATAACCAGTGTATAAAGAGACTGCAATCTTTTTCAGCTAAACACTGACAATTAGGTATTCTATAATTGTTTATTTCATAGAAGAAAGGGCTTAAACAGCCTATGTATACAAACTCTCAAACGTTAGTACACAATGGCATATGGTTTTGTTTTGTTTTGTTTTTTGCGACAAATCAAAGTGATTCGGTCAGTAATCCTTCCAAACTTTGACGATTTCTGCTTTACAGGTATACCCTCCCAGCTAAGATTTTCAAAGAGTAAACAAATCGATGGAGTTTTCATTGTCGAACAACCTGATTTTCGATGCTATTCAGTCCTGAAACAACTTCATCGATCAAGGGTCTTCGCCTCGGATCCTGGTCTAAGCATTTGCAAGCGATTTCGAGCATTTCTAATAGTGGGTTTTCAAGATCTTTAACCCATAATGATGAATCTATAATCTCGGACTCTCGTTTCTCAGCTTTCATCTGAAACACCCATGACACCAAATTCCGACAATTTTTTCCTTTACATACTTCCACCGGCCTTCTACCAGTAAGAAGCTCGAGAAGAACGACTCCGAAACTGTAAACATCTCCTCTGCAGGTTGCAGTTAGTGTCTGGCTGTACTCTGGAGGAATGTAACCCAATGTTCCGACCAAGTCTGTTGTGACATGGGTATCGTACGGGCGGAGTAGCCTTGAGAGACCAAAATCCGCTAAATGTGCTTCGAATTTTTCATCCAGAAGTATGTTACTAGATTTCACGTCCCTGTGAACTATGTGCGGTTCGCAAACCTTGTGCAAGTACGCCAACCCACGAGCTGCTCCTTGAGCTATCTTGAGTCTCACATCCCATTTGAGAACCGACGATCCATCAACACACTCGTGCAACCAATAATCCAAGCTTCCATTCTCCATATAAGAGTAAATCAATAACCTGTCGTTCCCGTGCTTACAATAACCTTGAAGAGAAACAAGGTTTGTGTGCTGAGCTCTCGAGAGAGCTTCAACTTCAGCTCGGAATTCACGCTCCATCTGGCCACAATCACCAGAAAGTCTCTTGACTGCAGCGTTTGAACCATCCGGAAGGTAGGCCTTGTAAACCAGTCCGAAACCACCACAACCAATTATGTTTGCTTGGTTAAAGTTGTTTGTAGACTTTAACAAGTCCGTAACTGTGAGCTCCTTGCAGTTCGAACTTTGGAAGAGAACCAACTTCGATGAACCGAGAGCTTCAGATAACCGGCGTGACCTGCTGAGTTCTTCGTCCAAATTATCGATTGCATGGCCCACATCCCTCCTCGACATTCTAAGAAGAACGATAGCAAGAAGCAACAATATCCCAACTCCTATACTGATCGTTATTCCAATAATGTTGCTACGACCCAACTTGTTGTTTGAGCCCGAATGGATAGTTGGCTTGAGCATATTGTCCATAACATGACAAGGAGACACTATTTTCCCACAAAGTCCCGGGTTGCCCTCAAAGCTTGAACTCGGAAAGCTATAAAACTGTCCACCGGTAGGAATCACACCCTGCAAGTGATTATATGCCACGCTAAATTTTGACAAAAATGTGAGCTCCGCAAACGACTGCGGAATTGTCCCATGCAAGTCATTGTTTGACAAATCTAAAATCTCCAAGTTCTTCATATTCGAAATGGAACCAGGGATGACACCAGTGATGTTATTCCGGTTTATATCCAAGACATGGAGCTGCTTTAATACCCCAATTTCAGGAAAAATTGACCCGTTCAATCTATTATTGCTCAAATATAATGATGGGGGGAAACTTGAAAGCTGGTTGTATTGAAGTCCGCTAGCACTCTGATTCCGCTTTACATATAGGGGTATTCCGGCAGAGGACGAAAGAGTGGCTAAGCTGGAATTTGAAGAAACGAGGGTCTTAAGCTGTGTCAAACTTTTCGGGATTTCTCCAGTGAGAGAGTTATTTGAGAAGTCCAAGTAAAACAAATTCTCCATCTGACCAATCCAACTCGGGATACTGCCACTTAAGTGATTCCATGACAAATCTAAAACTTCGAGCTTCTTGCAACCGGACAGCCAGTCTGGTATTTGACCTTTCAGAGCACAATTTCCAAGTGCCAAGACTGTCAAGCTCTCGAACCCACTTACATTTTGGGGAATTTCATCTCCATATAAATTCTTTGTGA